AATTCAATTTCCATGCAGCAATTAGGCAGTTTAGTGATGTTTCGTAAAATATTTAAAACTGCCTAAATTTTGCTAAATTTTAAACCGTTTTAAACGTAAAAGATATATATATATTGATAAAACTATATTAGACAAAATAAAATGGTCATAATTTACTATTACAGACCATTTAAAAATAAATCCGATAAATAAAACTATTGACATAATTATACATGTCACTAAAAGTCAAAAAGTAACATCATAGATATCTTACTGATACTGATGATAGATATGATTCTCCAAAAGATGTTCGGGAGGTTCCTCACTGCACGTTCTACTTTTTTATTCGAACCTATGCATGAAAATCATCACACGTTAAGTACAACTTATTGAGAAAGTAATAAACTAAGGTGAGATAAAACAAGAAAACATCATAAATATGATAAAACATTGAAAATAAATCAAATAAAACGTTAAACTTTCAAACTGACTTAAATAAGTCAATTCTTCTAGGGTTGTTCATTCGGTTAAAACTGAACTGAACTGAACCGAACCGAATTAACCATAACCGAATTAATCAAACTTTTTTTTCTTTAACCGTTAACAGAACCGAACTTTTTTCGAAAATATTAACCGAACCGAATAAATTTCGGTTAATTTTCGAATTAACCAAAAAATTTTAAAATTTTCTAATTTATATAAAAATTAAATGTTTTTAATTCAAAAAAAAGTTTATAATTAATTTAAATAATATATAACTATAAAATAAAAATTTCAGATAATTTTTTTAATTAATTAATATTGATTTATGTTTAAAAGTTATTGGATCTTAAATTATTAATTGATTTTTAAATGGTTTGGGGTGAGCTCATATGTTATATATAATATATTTAATATTTTTTAATTAAAAAAATAGTTTACAATTAATTTAAATAATATATAATTATAAAATAAAAAATTTTATATAAACTTTTTTAATTAATTAATATTGATTTAGGTTTAAAAATTATTGGATCTTAAATTATTAATTGAGTTTTAAATGGTTTGGGTTGAGCCCAAATGTTATATATAATATATTTAAAATTTAAAATTTAATTTCGGTTAATTCGTTTAATTAATCGATTTCGAACCGAATTAACCGTTAACCGAATTCTAAAAAAAAAATTTAACTGTTAACCGACCGAATTAATTCGATAACCGAACCGAATTAATCGAACTAATTCGATTAGATCGGTTAACCGAATTAGTTTGATTATTTGAAAACCCCTAAATTCTTCATTGTAAACCTGAACATTTATATCATTTCATGATTTTATCTAAATCATAATAAATATTACCGGATAAAATATTTATATCATAATTCTTGCCAATTCAACATAACTTATAACTTTCATATTTCATTTTCTCTGCCCAATGCATATTTCAAAGAATACAAGATACGCGAGTAGAGCATAAAGTGCGCACTAGGCACTTCACGATGCCAATCAAAATCATCATAAGATGCACTTCAAGTGCAAATCATAACATATGTACCAACGGTGCAATTCATAATGTACACGAATGCACCATAACTTAACTTGAACCTACGACTCTCAATGCAACATAAAATGGACTTATAAATCATAATATAATCATTTATTAATCAACGTCTTAAAATCATAAACATTTAAATTTCATCATCATAAAAATTATACTTGGACAATTCATACCCTAAATCATTCATAAAACTTGATAAAAATATTATGGAAATAATCCATAATTAAAATAATAAATCATACTTTAAAAATAATATGAGGTTGACTTATCGCAAGTCTTCCTCAGTCAGAATAATTAAATAAATAAATTGCACTCACCTTTACCTCACTACTGAACCTTTTATGTAATACTCCTAATCACGTGTTTTATCCTTTTCTTTATGATCTTTTGGATCGCTAGATTTATCGTGGTCTGACAACATCACATAATAACACAATGTATTCAAACTATATATTAGTATTATACTAACATAAACTAACTTTGATAATATAAAAATCTATAAAAGTAAAATCAATACTTAATCAGCGTAAAATAAATCATATATCCATAATATTTGCAACTTCTCAAAATCCTCATTCGACCTCATAAATATTTTTTTTTATCATTAACACTTCAACTTTTGCCAATTGCACAATCAAGTCACTAATTATGAATTCTTCCTAGAATTCACCTTGACTTTTCAATTAAATTCATATGGTCCTTCACCATCATTGCACGTTAATTTCCAAAATTTCCAGCACTTTAATAAAAATACTCAAATCAATACTTTAACATTCAAAAACTTACAATTTCATCCTAAACTTTCTTAAACTTTTCGACTTCAACACCTACTTTAATAAACTTGAAATTTGATCCCAAACCAATATTTAAACTCCAAAAAATCAGCATGCTACTAAAATTTCCAGCAGTATAATTTATTACTCAAAATAAAACCAACACTTTTCAAACTTACCAACAAGTCCCTAAACTTTTAGGACTTTTCGAATTCCACCATTAAAATTTACCAAATTTGCAATTTGGTTTCAATCAATTTCCTAACTTAAAATTCCAGCATATATTCATTATAAATCAACATTGAGTACCTCAAATTGCACATTTACACATTAAAGTCCCACAATTCTCATAACTTGCAAACTAGCCCTTTTTCTATTTCAAGCTTCCAAATTGATCTCCAAATCACATAGAACACTTCTAATATCAATTCTAGACCATATGAATTTTTTTCAATATTTTTCCACTAATTTTTCTCCCCTTGGACGAATCTCACTATGAACATAGGGTAAACTTTTCATTCAATTTCAAGGATGAATTCAACTTCCTTGGATCAAATTCATGCTATTCTAATCATCACAACACCAAATTAAATCAAAATCCAATCATCTCTTAAAACCCTAGCCATGGCCAAATGATATATAAGTCCTACACATCATTTTGATCATCACACATACTTTAGAATTAATCCATAACACCACTAACATTAAAATCTTCCATAAATTCTTCAAAATCAAACATTTTCTTCATGAAACCAAATCCGCGATCTCATCATCCAAGCACGTTTAGCATGTATTTCTTATACCAAATAATAGGGAACTTGATGGAGAACATTTTTCCATCAACTTAATTCAAAATCCTACTAAATAGCTCAAAAATGAAAAAATAATTTTTTTTCTCACCTTGTAGGGGTTCACGGAAGCAAACTGATGGAGAAGAAGAGCTCTAGATTTTTCTAGTAATTTTCATAATACACATGGCATTTAAGCTAATTTAATTGAATTTAAAATTATATTAATGAGAAATCCCCATAATGTCATTAATGAAACTTGATATTTACCAATTGTCATCGCAATATCTTCCATTAAAATATTCCTTAGTCAAAGATGAATCAATTGGCCTTTGACTTCCCACTTTGACCATGCAATTTTTGAAAATTGCATTTTAGTCACTAAATTTCCATTATTTGGTCAAATATATCAAATTAACTTCAATTCCACGTATTCATGATAAATTTCACTAATATAAAATATAGAAATAATATTTCTAACCCTTATCTAGCATCCTTCCAATTTTCATAAAATTACAATTCGATTCAACTATCCAATTTCTATATCGGACTTTATCGTTTTATAGCTTTTAACACAAATCCCGTAACGAAAATAAGATTACCAAGAAAATTATTGTTTTAGGCCAAAATATTCATTTACGGGATAAAATATATATAACTTTTCAAAATTATATTTTTGGTCCCTAAACTTTTACAAATTTATATTTTATCCACCAAACTTTCAAAACTTATATTTTAGTCACTAGCCAAAATTTAGGGTTTACATGAGTGTGGGGGTGAGAATTTTAATTTTAGAGTTTGAATGTAAGTTTTAATATTTTTAATTTTTTATTATAATCCTAAATAATATTAAAATATTAATAAATACATGACATGTCATATGGGAAAATAAAAAAATAATCCATGTCATCAATGAGTGATAAAAAAAATCAATGTCTAAAGTTCAGTGACCAAATTGAAAAAATTGAAAGTATGGTGAGTGAAATAGGAGAGAGAGTAAAGTTCAGTGAGTAAGCGTGTAATTTACCCATAATAATAAAATAATTCAGAGTGATCACAACAAGAGTAATTCGAAAGTTTAGTGAGTAAATTAAAAAATTGAAAGTACGATGAGTAAAATAGGAGAGACAATATAATTCATTGAGGAATGGTGTAATTTACCCTTATACTAAATAATTTTGGGAGAGGCAAGGACTTAACTGCAATAGTTTCAAAATTTTCAATGACCTAAAATGTAATTAAACCATAAAAGTGAGGGGGATAAATACAATTGCCCCTCCCTGCATCTGAGCAGTCCATCGAACCTCCATTATCAATTATTCATATAAATGTAGTTTAATCGCTTAAGCTGATACAAAATTATCCTTGTCTTATTAACAATTTAGTAATTATTTCAAATAACAATAAGGACCAAATTATTTTATCAAATATTAAAGATTTATGGAATTATTTTGAATTCAGACTAATTTGATAAAATGTGCAAGTTTTGAGAACTAAAATTGTTATTATACTATGCTATATTTACTATTTCAGTTAAGTCAATGGTCAAGCCTAACCCACGGGTGACTAAAACAGAAATGAAACGTAAATTTAAAAAAATTGAATGATCAAAACGAGAATAAATGGGTGATAAAATAGGTAGTTTACGGAGGAAAAAAGAGTTGACGGCGCAAAACCGAAGTCAGATCTTACTAAACAAGAGGAAAAAACAACATAAAAGTGCTCTCTAACTAAATAAATAAGATCAAAATATAAATGACAACAATCTCCAACATGTCATCTGGTCGAGTTTCGAGATGTTGGATGTTGGAGTTGTGCAAGAACTGAAGTACCAAAGAACATAACTACAGAAGTTGTAATAGCAAAAAGCCTGCCGACTTCCGACAAGAATGCGGTGCGTCGGGCGGATGTCGAAATTCAAGTCGATTTCTTAACTTATTGTCTGCAAAACCAGGGAACAGCTAGAACGAACCCAACTCAATTTCCCTGGAAACCTATGAATGGTTAATTTTCAAGAGTAAAACATTTGAACCATGTCAGCTCTGCTTAGTGTAGAGTGATCTGGTTTAATAAATTTCTCAAATATGATTAAATCGAGCCATTGAACCTTCATGGCTTGGTTCAGTTGGATCACGCAGACACCTTTAGAATGTGGCATCTAGTATATCTGGGATTCGAATTCCATTTTAGTATGTTCAAATTTTTTATAAAATGTGGTGTAGCAAATGATGAGAAAACTTGCTCATTATCATAGGCAGGCCCCATTCTCTTTACCATTTGTGGAATTGCCATAATGAAATGATGAATCCAACCATCCTATAGCCTTTGCTTCCTCGACGTATGCTAGAAACTGCTTCCGGGCATCAGGCACGTCGAGAGCCAAGTCGTCGAGACATTCTTCTACCCTTGAGAAACCCTTTGTCATCTGGTTCATGGTTATGAGCCCTGAGCCAAAACAATGTGCAAGAAAACCCCAAAGTCTGTCATTCTTTTTCTCTATAACGATCACCAGTGCTTTCTTTACAACCTCGTGGTGGAAAAATGGCATGCCTAATTCCTTAATGCATCGATAAGCTTCCCTAATGTCTCCTCCAGATTCATATTCCTCTAATAGCTTTGCTATTTTGAGTTTCACGTCGTCAATGGCCCATCCTGGCGTACTACCACCACCGCCACCCCAACACCTTAAGATGCGCTCTCCAGAAAGGCGAGCCTTTAGCAATGACTTTGCCATTTGAAACACTTTGCCTCCAACAGAGTCTATCCCTGAAAATTGGCTCCCAACCTCTTCCAGGTGTTGTGGGGCTAAAGCTTCATCCACCACTGCTCTAGCCAAAAACATAGCAAGATCCTCAACAACAACTGGATTATCTAGAACGGTATCATCTGCAGATTCTATCAACATCACGAACCCATCTACTACATCATCTGCAGGAAAAAATAAAGATGATAGCAAAACAGATGCCATTTCTTTCTCCCTGTTCTTCCGATCCATAGCTAAAGTTATCAACCTTTTAACAAAAATAGAATTCAGTTCGCCTGAAGAAGTCTTATTTTCTGCTTCTAGACAGCTAAAAACCTCCGAGATATCACCAGTCAAGAAATATTCTTGAATGATTGTTTGACACTTCAACTTGAAAGTTTTAGTAAAATTGTCTTCCAATGATTTATTTCTAGGCTCCAATGATAATGACCTCAAAGATGAAGCGCACAACCAACCATCAGATGTAGCCTTAGAAATTAAAGACTTCAGTATCTTCTGTGCATCTGGTATGTCAAGGGACAAATCGTCTACTGTGTCAATCATCCTATCGAATCCCTTTGTAATTTGACTTGAGTTTATCAGGCCTTCTTCAGCTGCTTCCTTGAGTAGATCCAGTAGTCTATCTTCAGCTTTCCGCTTTTCCATTGCCATAACAAGTGCTCGTTTAATTATTTCATGGTGGAAGAAGGGAACTTTCAAATCCTTGATGCATCTATAAGCCTCTTTCTTGTCACCACTTGCTACATACTCGATCAACAAGTTGTTTATCCTTGCTTTCACATCCTCAACTGTTTTCTTGCCAACCCTCCAGCGACGCTCAATAGCTTCAGCGTGCATAGGAGCTGCTAGATACCCTTTCTCAGCTCTTTCCAAGACTTCCACCCCCTTTGAATTATTAGGTAAGAGCTCCCTTTGCTTGTTAAGGAATGCAGGAGGGAGTATGTCATCAACAACAGCTCGAGCTATAAACAAAGCAAGAATATCAACTGTATCTGGTATGTCCACAATCAAGTCATCAGCAGATTCCACCAATTTACTATAGCCTCTGTAAACCTGAGGGGCATCAATCACATCAGCATATAGTGCAGATAATAGGACAGCAGCCATTTCTTTTTCATGGTCATGCCTATCCATAGCCATAGAGACAAGCTTTTTAACAAAGTAATAGTTATAGCTGGGCATTGCAAGTTCTTCCAATTCATTGGTAGTTGAGACCACATCATCAGTAGCAAAGTATTCCTCCACTATTATTGTCACTTTCTTTTATATGCATCAAAATTTGGTGCTGATTTTCTTGCATTTGGATGTTCACATTCCTGCATCAAGCACAATTTTTAATCAAACTGAGCTTTGAATCCTTAAAAAGGAGTTAGTCATCCTCGGGAAATTTAAAGTAACAAAAAGATAGAACAAGAACAAAAATACAGGGAAGTAGAAGGAACATATTGTGGACTAACTTCCTCACTGCTATCATAGTTTGGGTCTTTTGAGTCGAGAGGATAACTGGAATAAGTGTCCATTAACCCTCCCCAAGTTCCTTTGCCACCACAACCACCTGCAATGAAATTGTTGAACAAGATCAATAACGAACTAAATGGTATCTGCTTTCACATTCACTCAATTCAGTTTCCTTAATGCTCTTTTTGCTATTGGCTAGTAACTAGATTTTGGACTGATAGTAGTATAATTAGTTACCTTTCTTAGGACGACCATCTATCGGAGAACGTGATTGCCTATCATGACTAATTGGACTGCCTTTGCCATGGACCTGTGTTGACCTTGGAGATTTTGAAGAAGAAGAACATAATGGACCTTCACTCCCTGAAGCTGATTGGAGAATCTCCCGGTTTTCATCTGATATAAAACCACCAGTGCCGTTCATTTTATCCGATTCTTCACCACTCACCACTTTCCACTTATTCCTTTAAGTTGAAGAACATACCCCACACCATTAAACTGCCTATACTAAAAGATGTTGGAAAACCTGGGTTCTAGGATCTCTCTAACTGCCTATCACACCTTCAAAGGTAGTATCCACATTCTAGTTTAGACAGTAAATTATCAATGCTTCGTTATCTTGCAATAGATCCTTTAACATCTCGATCCACTTCATCAAGTTCTACAGAGTTTACTGAAGGTGATTATAGAAGCTACCAATATTGATCTGAAGATTTTTCAATAATCCTTCAAGAAGAGCAATTGTTCTTTTGAGCTGCAAAAAAGAAGTCAACTAATTATTTAACAAAACTTGAAAACAGTAAATTCCCATATCGAATAAGTGCATGTGTCTCGTACAGATAAACTCGATATTTTCCATCGTTTTCTCATATATTTGATCTTTCAAATCCGATATGCATCACAGAGTATGCGCTACATAAATATTGGATCCTGAATAATATAACAATTAACATCAATTTCAACAAGCAGGAATCTAAAAATAATCGTAACGAACAATCTAGCCTCAAACATTCACAAATTTTGGATTCAAGCATTTATATAACCAATCCTTCATTACATAAATCGATAAAAAAAATTAGAATGAAAAGAAAATAATCAAAACGAGATAGAAGACCTTGAAAGGAGAAACAATGAAAGGCGTCTGAAAGTACCGTTCGCCGGAGCGACGTATCACACCGGCGGTCCGATTCTCTGTTTTTTTTAAAATATTTTTTTACTTTTTTTGGTGAAGCGTTTTTATTTCTTGTGTGCTTTTGTTTGTGAGTGAGTTTCAGGTTTTAGTTCAAAACGGGAGAGGGTCGGTTGCAAAAAAAAGCTGTTGGAGTTCCGTTATGAATGGACGGAGATCTGGAAAAGTGTAGTTTTTAACGGCTGGATTTAGCCTTTTGAAACGGGATAAATTATCACGGGTAACTCGCTCAATTTGCTCAAATTTTCATGGCTCAATGCAAATGTCATGCCATGTTAAATGGTAAAGGTCTTATTCTAGGATCAACCCTCAAACTTAAATAAATTTATGAATTTAATCCCTTAAAATAAGTAAATTTAGTCCCTCTCCACACTATGTGACTATCATTAAAGGGGGGGGGGAAATAGCTTGTCATGTGGTGACAAGAAAAAAGAGCAGTTAAAATTTAAATATTACATATAAAAAAAATAAATAAACGAATACAATAAGTATTAATATTATAAATAAATTATGGAATTAATACTTGTACTAAATTTAAGTCTAACCTATAATATAGAGATTAATAAAATGAATTAATTTAATAGATTTCAAGTTATTGTTTATATTATAATCAAAATTTTTAAATTTTAAAAATTACAAAAACTAAATTCACAATTTAAGCTTAAAACAAATACTATTTATAGAATTTCACGTAACTTTTATATTATGTAATAGATTTTAATATTTTAATTATATTAAAGTAAATATCACTATACAATAATTTTTTCTATTTTTTTAGGTTTATTGGTGAAAGAGGCTATTATGAAAATAAAATTAAAAAAATGAATCCTTAGGTTAAAAAAACTCCAATTAAGCCCCTATAAATCTTAAAAAAAATAATTAACACATCTCATTATCGTCGACTAACTTTAATCAATAATAAAATTATATTCTAACGTTTTTACAGTATTATAGTAAGAAATTGTAAAAAAAAAAGATGTAAATTAACATTTTAACCATACGAGTCAAATTAGAAATTAGCTCTTTATGTTAAACATACCACATCATAGATAGGGTTAAGATTTGAGAGATCATTGTATAATAAATCAATAACTTTAGTGACCATAACATGATTTTTGAAAATTGAATGATCAAAATTTACTTAAACAAAGGTGACCTTCTGTATAGTTTACCCTAAATGATATTATGAAGACAATTTAATAGAATGTACTCTAATCTTTCAATTTCTCAACCAATCAACAATATCACATCACCTATAATGTAGCATTCATGTTAATATGCCAAATAAAACATTCATGTAATCTTATTCCCAAAGATAATTTTACACACCACAAACGAAACCGAAGCAGATATAAGATGAGTCGAAACTAAATCCTCAGACATTGAATATAATTTCAAATTCAAGAAACACCATACCACAAAAAATAGTGCAATGCTTTGAAAATTTTCTAATTTATTACATGAGCACTTGCAGCAGCCAGTTGAACTGAAAAGGTATGGATGCTTATATTTACCAAAGAAAAGAAACAAAAGATTTAAAGTTCAAAGGTTTTGTAACGATCGATCCGAACCAGTTTTGTGACCACTGCTTGGCGCAGGCTTATCTGATGATAAGGAAATGCATTAATCATCATCTTCATCTGCAATTTCGAGCGAGCGAGAGAGTGTGAGGAAATTTACGACAGAACAATGCTACGCAAGCAGACAACATAAGTAACTTCGGTCTCCAAGTTAAGCAGAGAAAGGTCTTAAAACAATTACTAGTGCAGCTGATCAGAATATGTGCTTTCGGAGTTCGTAAAGGGAGTGCATGGAGGAGTTAAATTATAATTGTACATACATAACATCTTCAAGAAATAATGGTATATCACTGCAAGAAAAGGCAAAGCTGCACAAGAAGTAATAACACTACGGTATAGATTAAGCATGGGCATAATGCCAAATTAGCCCCCAACATTTACCAAAATGATCATTTTGGACCCATTCTTTTTTAGGAGCATTTTGGCCCCGACATTTTATTTTGGGATAAAAAGATCACTCTATGGATGTAAACCGTTAGTTAACACATGATTAACGCTCCAAAACAGGTGCCTTTTTATCCTAGAATGAAATGTTGAAGGCCAAAATGCCCCAAAAAGAAAAAAAAACAAAGGCCAAAGTGATTATTCTGTCAAATGTTAGGGGTCTTTTTGCCCTAAAATAAAATGTTAAGGGCCAAAATGACGATTTTGGTAAATAGTGGAGGTTAATTTTGACATTATGCCTTGAGCATTTTGGGTTGGCAAAAGTATGTTGTAGGGGTGTAGAAAGAAACATCATCGGTTGGGGCAAACCACAAATCAGTACATGGAATGAAATGAAATCCATATTTAAAGAAGAATTTATTGTCTAATTATCATGACAAGAAGTGAGACAAGGTTTCTACATTTAAGCAAGCAAGCAGCTGAGCAAATTCTTATGAGTTGTACGCAGTCTGTAATACCCCAAATATTGGGTAGGTGATCATAGTGAAAGAATTTAAAATTTGGTGGGTTAAATTAAGTAAATTGAAAAGTATAAGGAATGATTTAGGAAATTGTGTTTGAGACTTATTAGTAAGAATGGAAGAAGGGAGGGACAATTTGGTCCTTTAGATGGAATGAATTTAATATTCATTTAAATTGAGTTATTTAATAAAAGTGAATAGGAGAAATAAGGGATAAGTTCTTAAGTGGTTCTCTCCTCTTCTTCTTATTTTTCACGTCTCGTGCCCTCCCATGGCAAAGGTAAGGTTTCATCTGGTTAGTTTTTCCTTTCGTTGTTTGGTTGGTTTTGAAACCTTAAGTGATATAGAGGTTTAAGGAAAGTTCAAGGAGGATTAAAACTAAGAGACGAATGATTTATTTGAGAGTTAATAAAATGAGTTTTTAATTTGATGAAATAGGGTCAATTATTGGAGTTTAAAAGCATATTTGACTTGTCAAAGAAGTAAATAAGATATTTAGAGTCTTAGACGTGATTAAAAACATGTTTGAAATTTGGGCATGATTTTTAGTTTTAAGGGTTCTTTGGAGTTATTGGATGTTATAGGGAGATTTATGGATGTAAGACAGTTGGTTTGAGTAATGATGAGTTTAAGGTGATGGTTGGTAATAAAAGTAAGAGATTTAGGTGAAAATGTGATAAAAATCGAAGTGAAATATGTAAAATTTGGGTAAGGGTATTGGTACTGGAAGAACAATACGATACTATAGGATTAAATTTGAGGAAAGAGGATGAACACGATGAACAATATCGATACTGATGCAAGTAGTATCAATACTAAAGTGGGGTATCGATACCAAGAGGAAAGTATCAATACTATTATTGAAAAATGGATTCCGGAATGCAAAATGGTATCTAAACTGAAGGGAGTATCGATATCATAGTATAGAAGCATTAATACCATAGGTGGGGTATCAATACTATTCAGCCTGGAATTTTAAGTTAAGATGAACTTTAATAAAATTCAAGAATAATAGTACTTTGAGTATTATTATTTTGTATAAATGTTAGAAAGTATTCTAACATCTGTATTGTATGTGTGTGAATATGGATACTTGTGTAGATCGTAATCAAGCTCCTAAATCAAGCAAGCAAAAGGGCAAGGATAAAGTTGTCGAATAGTCGGACATCATTAAGACATAATAGTGAGGCATACCAGGTGAGTGTATTTATTATACTTATATGAGATGAGGATGACTTGCGATGAGTCAACCTCGAATGTTTGATAAAAAAATGTTTTACAATATTTAGATATGTTTTCATAATGTTTATGGAAATGATATTACGAATAAATTTTAGAGTATGAACTGCTCTAAAATGAATATATGAGCGTTTATGTTGTTTAATTTGTGAAGTTGATTGAATAGCCCATTGTATGTGCATTAAGAGTCATAGGTGCATTTCGACATAAATTGTATATAAAAGTTATCGATCGATTTTGTGTAATGCATAAGGGTGCATTTTTATATCAATATTATGTGTACTTTCGGCACTAAATGTGCAATCATGGTATTCATAATGATTTTGTGAATTATCATTTCGATATACAATTATGTATAAAAGTTATTGATCAATTTTGTGTAATGCATAATGGTGTATTTTCATATCAGTACTATGTGTACTTTCGGCATTATGTGTGCATCCATGGAATTCATAATGAGTTTGTGAATTTCTATTTCGGCACTTCGGTGCAGTACATGTACCTTGCATTCTCATTTGGCATACATTGGACAAATAAAGGATAAATTGGAAAAATACTGAATGACAGATATGCGGGGCATACTAAATATAGTTTATTAGATTATGTGAATGAAGCTTGGTTTGTCAAGTTAATTTATGTTTTAATATAATTTATTTGATTTTCATTCGTATTTTGATATTTTATGATATACTTGTATTTAAGTACAATTCATTTTGTATTACTATGTCTCACTAAGTAAATACATAACATGTGTCGATTTCTCAGCCAATCAACAATCTCACATCAACAATCAACAATCTCTCATCACGTATAATG